TATTTATATAAAATATACTCTATAAAGGGAAATCTGTCTGATAAAGTTCTTCGTTGCGCTTCGTCAAAGTTCATGTCGTTCGCTACCAACCATACGAGTTCCTGCATCAAAGTTGTACCTAATCAACACAATATGAATTTTATTAACATTTTGTCAACGTTTGAAGATATTAAATATTTTAATTTCATGAATTCTGAAATCATGATATTTTCTGTAACTTCTATGTATAGTTTAAGATCTATATATATTGTATTCACACTTTACTTTTCGATAAATATGCGCATTTTCCTTAAGAAAAATTGTTCCAATAAACTGATTAATTCATGATATTTCATCAGTTATTGATCAGTTTATTGGGATATTTTTTCTTTAGTGTTGCTGACATTCATGTTTCGTGAAATTTGCTGTTCACTGCATCAGAACAAGAAGTGCAGTAATTCAGCACGAAACATTGAGCAATGAATCACGACATGTTAATAACTCGCAAAATCTTTAGCATCTCTGAAGAAAATTTCTTTAATATCTCTAAATATGAAAATAGTTTAGACAAAACATATGTTATTTCTATATATTATATTGTAGTTATATCTCTATTTGCTAAGAAGTTAAAATTTAAAAAAGAACTAAAATTAGTATGCACTAAATTAAAATAAAATATTTCTTTTAAAAAACAAATAAAATTTAATATTATAAAAAATGATGATGTCTTATTAAGGCAAAGATAACTTACCTGATCGAGGATAAGTAACGACCCATGTATCATCCGGACGAATTTCAAAATTATAAATTTTGTCACCGTTCTCAATGTAGTTATCTGACATAGACCACTTCTTCTCTCCGATCTTAACTAAAGCATCGGGCTTGTGAATTGGATACAATTTCGATAAAGTAATCATCAATTGGTCTTCTATACGCTCTACTTTTAAATTTTGGAAAGACATGTTGTGTTATGAAGCAAATTATGAGTTTTCTTACGAGCGAGACGCACCGTAATATGTAAAGTATTAAAAAGGTTCGACAACTATCTTCTGACCTTCTTTCTAAACTTCATTCAATGATAATACGGGTAAATTTACAGACAAGTCGGAAATGTGTTATTAGCAGTTTAGAGAACAGACTGACTCGATCAGAACTAGAGAGATCTTCACTAGGTACGATAAAAAAAGAGGAGAAGATTCCGATAAACTTTAACCAATAATAACATTATCGTATATCAAAAAAATGGCGATAAAAGAAACTGATATCTTTATCATATTCTAGATATCATATCTTATCATATTCTTCTTTTATCATATTCAAGAAGTCAAAATCTACAAAAAATTATTTCTTTTACTTACATACTTTTAGACAAAAATCTTTTTTAATATCCTCCCAAAAAGGGCAGATTTTTGCCTAAAAAGATGTATGTAAAAAAAATAGTGTTTTTGTGGATTGTCACAAATAAAAAATAAATAATATGTTTCAGATTTGTATCTAATTAACATTATATCGTTACTATTTCTTAATGCGAGAAAAGTCACTTAATTTGGATGATTTTTAACATATCCCAGTACAGAAAATGTAAATTGTTGTAAAATGGATAATAATAATTCTTTTTTAAAAAGTTAAAAATTTTTTAATTTAGGAAATTTTTAGAACTTACGTGATACATATAACAATACAAGACAATGAAATAGATATAGATACCAATAGATTTGAAGAATCTATATCTAATTTATAAAAAGTAGTTTAACATATTAGCTGATAAAAAAATTAGAAATATAACAAAACTCGACGATCTAGCAAATTTTATGCAAAATAATGTTACATCTAAAATCAGAATCTGATTCCACCATAATTATAGTCACTAATAAAGTTGGCAACGTAAATTTATAAAAATAACACGTTACTATCTCTTTTTGCAAAAGGTAAATTATGTTACTACAAAAATAGATAGAAGATTCAAAGTTACCGCAAATTCTATATTCTAGTCACGTGTGTCGCGTTTAGTTCGCCACCTCAATGGCCAGAAGAGATAGGCGGCGCTGAAAATCCTTTCGTTCTCTAAGGACGACAGGGCGGACAGGGGCGTTCGTCGATGAATCTGGTTTGGCGTGGAGTGGCGTGGGGGGAGTGACGGAGAAGTGTGGATCGTTGTGGATCTGGATCACGGTCAGCCAAGATGGCGAACCGTCGTGGAGGCTGAAGAAACTTTACTCGTTCCAAGTGTTCGTCGTACGAGGTATTCGCGCATTCTCGTATGATTTCAACGCGTCCGTGAAGTAGCGTAGTATGTCCTCGTACACATTCTCGCAGAGGCAGTTCACGCCAACGCCACCGGAGCGCGGCAGCTTCCCACTGGACCATGAGGGCCATTGCAAGAGCATCATGATCAGGTACATGCGCTGCCTGTCCGAAAATCGCCATCAGAACGCGATGTGTCGCGACATCGCCAAGGAGTACCTCGGCTGCCGCATGGACCACGATCTGATGACGCGCGAGGATTGGTCCAAGCTCGGCTTCACCGATGAGATCAAGGGTGTCAAGGAAACGTAACGTCGATATCGTTCACGAGACAGCAGATACCCTAAGAAAGGAGGGGTCATATCCTTGTCGTCGTCGTTGTCATTGTTGACGTCTTGAGTCTCTTCGAGAGTGCCTGGTACACTTTGTCTAATCGGTGCTCTTGGAACTGTCGATGTAAATAAGATGCCATTACGATAATTCAGTGATTCAGTGTGTTCAAGCGATTATACGCACTGCCAGCCAGGTGTAACAAGGACTTCCTGTTAGATTTGAGAAAAAGTAACAATAAAGACAATAGATTTAAAAAAAAGACCAAGAGAGAGAGAGAATTGAACAATATTAAAAATCCGTGTATCTACCTTTTATTTTCATAAGAAAGAAAAATTCGGTTACATCACCCGATACTCATTGGATCGGTCTTCTTGAGCTTTAACGTAAAGGCATTCTTGTAGTTTGTTATGCGGTTGGATTGTGTTGCAACCCAAGTGGCCTAAGAGAATAAATATCCCTTAAATAAATAGAGAATTCCAATATTTATTACGTTGAAAACTGAGAGTCTATCAGATTCTTCGTGCAGATTGATATAGAATAGAGGGTAACACAAAGGTAAAAAAAATGGCGAGCTGCTCCAGGAAAAGAATATTGGTAGGTTGCACTGGGAGTGTGGCTACGATCAAGCTGCCCCAGCTGGTGGAAATGCTGCGACAGAATAATCTGGAAGTGAGAGTAGTTGTGACGGAGAGAGCCAAACACTTCCTGAAGGATGCTCAGCTGCCACCCGATATCCAGGTCTTATCTGATACAGTGGAGTGGGCTGCCTGGCAGGATCGTGGTGATCCGGTGCTGCACATAGATCTCGTGAAATGGGCGGATGTATTCGTGATAGCGCCGTTGGATGCTAACACCCTGGGCAAGATTGCCAGTGGCATATGCGACAATATTGTTACCTGCGTGGCACGCGCATGGGATCCTTCAAAGCCACTCCTCTTCTGCCCAGCAATGAATACCAGGATGTGGGAGCATCCAGTTACAATGCCTCAAGTAAGATGGACAGAATAGCATATTAATAATCAAGCTAAGAAAAGACAGTGTCATGAATATTCTTTAAAACAGCTAAATAGATAAAATACATGATCCTTTTTATATTAATTTTTGATGTAAAAGGAATATTCGCATATGTATACTATTTATTTAAATTGAATTAAATTTAATTTAAGATTTGTATGAAATTTCTTGAAAACCAAAAATTTTGTTAAAACAATGAAAGTATTTAAAAAGTTTTAGTAAACAGATGTAAAAAACAGCAATTAATGATAAACATAATTAAATTTATTCTGTCTTCTTTATGTGTGATTTTCTTTTTCTTTTTTAAATAAAAACAGTCATTTTATTTTTTTTTTCAGGTATCGCTGCTCAAATCCTGGGGTTATAAAGAAGTGCACTGCGTATCCAAGACGTTGATGTGTGGTGACGTGGGCATGGGCGCAATGGCCGAAGTAGACACGATCGTGCGATTCACTCTGCGAGCCTTGAATCCCTGGATGGATCAGTCGAATTTGTGTCCCTAGCAGCGGCTGAGATCGGCCTCCTCGTGCGAGCCTCGTCGACGACCCCGCGAGTATCGATGAAGCTCTGTCACGTCGAGAGCGCGATTTCCAGAGATTTCCAAAGACGCGCTATGGTGCGATTCGAACATACGCTTAATAAAATATACGCCAATGTCGCTTATCTCTAACAAAAAATTGGGACGAGCCTAAGGCCCCAATCTGTTGGGCCATATATGGATTATATAATCAAGAGTTTACGTTTATCAGTGAAAATATCTATAATTGTTTTGTTATATTGTTCATTGAGAATTTTATTCTTTTGCTCTTGTAGGATGAGCTATCACATTATCGTGAAATCATTGTTAGTTAGAACCTAAGCAAATAGCGAAATTTGAACGCATCATGGTCGTCATATCCTTTGCTCAACCTGAAATAAATCAACCGTGAGGAACAAACGAAATAATCATATTTCATCTGTCCAGTTGGTGTAATGCGATGTATAATAATGCTGTAAAAAGGAAAAAAATTCTGTTGACATATCCTAAAGTTGATTCGCTGGAATGTACAATGCTTTTGTTAAATATATGAACAATATATATATATATATATATATATATATATATATATATAACTTAAAATATAAATATATATAAAATAGAAATTAGAAAATACACATATAATAAA